TTTTTTTAGAGACAGGTTCTCACTCTGTCACCTGGTTTGGAGTGCGGTGGCAATCACATACACACTGCACCTCAAACTCATGGGCTCAAGCCATCCTCCCAACTAGCTAGGACTACAGATGTGTGCCACCATGCTCAGATAATTTTTTTTTTTGTAGAGACAAAGTCTTGCTATTTTTCCCAGGCTGGTTTCGAACTCCTGAACTCAAGCAATCCTCCTGGCCAAGCAAGTCTTGGCCTCCCAAAGTGCTGTGATTTATGAGTGTGAGCCACTATGTGCAGTGAGTGTTTTTATATTATATTCTTGCTTCCAATTCTTTTATAATAAACTGCAGCCATCCCTTAGTATCTGAGGGGGATTGGTTCCAGGACTTCCCCCACCCCCTGACAACAAAATCTGAGGATGTTCAAGTTCCTTATATAGAATGAATATTTGCACATAACCTATGCACATCCTCTTGTATACTTTAATCATCTCTAGATTACTTATAATACCTAACACAGTGTAAATGCTATGTAGTTTTTATACTATATTTTTATTTGTGTTTTTTTAATTGTTGTATCATTATTTTTTATTGTTTGCTTTTTCAAATATTTTCAATTTGCTATTGGTTGAATCTGTGGATGCAGAACCCATGAATACAGAGGGCCAACTGTACCCATTCATGTGTTCTTGGTTTTTACTCATCTCTCAGCTGGAATATGTCCTTGGAAATTTTTTTCCAAGAAGGGAGCATAAGTGGTTAATATCAACTGATCTCTTCACAAACGAAGTTAGTTGGGAACTAAAATGAATACATTGCAAACATTTTCTACCTCAAAATTCTTTAGACGTCAGCCTTGAATGTCTTCTATATTTAATATCCCAGAGAAGAAGGCTAGTTAGATTTTGTGTTTTGGTAATGTATTTTGTTTATTTTTTGCTGTTTTTCTTTGAGGTTTTTGTTTGACTCAAAATAATTGGGAAAATGTTCACTAGGCTATGTCCAGGTGGTGGTTTCTTTTCAGTAATTTTTCCTGGTATACTCAGAATCCTTGATTTACAGCTTTGGGTCTTTTCAGTTCAGAAAAGTGAGAGAAAAGAAAAATAAATTTGTAGAGTTGAAGCCCTTCATACCCATGATTGTCCCCAATATTTTTCAGAGAAATTTCCCTCCCATGGTAGGACCTGGCCTATATTTCTCTATATTGTCCTTAAAGGCATCAGGAAAATTGTCCAGGAAGCTTTCTTCCACCCTAACATCAAAATCACAATAGCTGTAAATCTTTGATCACTTCCCTATGTTCCTATTCTTACTGCCCTTCCCTAAGGTTGGTTTCCACCAGGGCGGTTGTAATAGCTTTCTAAATAGCTGCTCTGCATCTATCTGCTGACCCCTCCCTCTCTGCATGCATATGTCCACGTGGGTATATACATATGTGTATATGTACGTGTGTCTGTGTATAGGTATATATATACACATAGACTTTATTTTTGCTTGTTTGTTTTTGCTTATTGACTTCAGATCACGCTCCAGGGCAAGCAAGGACATTCCAATTTCATATCCAAACCCCATTTTCCAGCTAAGTTGTATGACTCATTTCTCTTCAACCATACCTGTATATTCTGGTCACAGTACCTTTCCTTATGTTCTTTTGTTTTTGTTTTTTGTGGCTTCTTCTCCTATCTTACCTTTCAAAATATTACCTACCTTCCAAGAACCACCCTTTTTCAGGACATTTTTCCCAATTATACCTCCCAGAAATACTTCCACTCTCCTCTGAATTCCCAAGGCCCTTCCTTAGCTAGGCTCTAGATTTTTCACCATACTTTTCTTATCCTATTGTTGGACTTTATTATACAAAGGGTGGGAACTATGTCTCACTCAACTTTGACTCCCTCATAGTATCTTGCAGATGAGAGTGCTTGATGTTGCATGACTGCTAAGCACTGAATGAGCTTTCAGATAATAAAACATGTCAATTTTGAATACCTACAAGACATCAACTTCAGCATAGAAACTCTCATTCTAAAAGTATTACCTGAACTGGTCCATTAAAAGGTGAAGAAATTCCTTTATTTCATCCACATGACTGAAGCTAGAAAGGTGTGCTCCAAGCGCATGGCAGAATCTTTCAGCTTCTTCCCAGTTCCTCTTTCTCACAATTCTTTCTACATGGAATACCTTAACAAAATATAATGTTAATTTGTTTTCTGGTGTAATTGTAAATTATTCATAGTGTGAAAGTCAATTACAGTTAAATATTAAATATGGGAGCCCCTGACACGTATTCTCATAGGTGTAACAAAGGCATAGGTAAATGCACACATACTGACACACAGAAGGTCCTCTGAAAGTGTTAACTAAAGGTCAGCACAGGTGCTAGCCCACATTGCCAGATGGATGGCCTTCCTTAGCCAGGCTGCAGAATGCTCTCCTGCATTTGTAGGACCTTGAAAGATAAAATGAACCAGGAGGCAAGGCTATAAAGGATGCATGTGAATATGAATGCTGTGGGAGTAGACTTCAGCGAAGAAATGTGCTAACAATATAATTTTGAACATAAGGCACTGAGACTGCAGAAAAACGAGGCTATTTTCTGGTGAGGAAGAATCAGAGAGCCGGCTGCACTGGTGTGTGAACATTAACATAAGGTGGCAAAACTAAACCTGCCACTGTGGACTCCTTCTTTGTTTTGCGCTGACTAGTTTTAGTCAGCCAATAACTATGGCCAAAGGAACCATAGTTATTTCAAAAGAACAAGAAGAGGACGAGGAGTAGGAAAAGAAGATGACACAATGATAGGCTGAATTATTGGTTCTGATTCTTCAGTTTTCTGCAATAACATAATTACATGTTCTTGCCACAGCCTCCTGGTGAGTGAACTACACTTCTCTGTACCTTGACGTGGGCCTTGGCCCTGAGATTTGCTGTCAGTGGGATATTACTGGAGGTAAAGTGAGCAGAGGCCTGAAATGTGCTTATGGGGTTGGCTTGCCTTCTGGGGCTCCAGTGATTTATCGTGAGAAAATCAAGCCCCTGATAGCTGCTGCCCCTTCAGCCTGAGCCCTAGATTGAAGGGCAGTGGACCGCAAGTCATAGCCTGGAGCCCAGCACAGCTGACCTGCAGTTGGAAGCAGAACTGGCCATTCAAGCCCAAACCAGACCAGTCAAACCCTAGCTGATCTGTGAAGGTGAGACTAAATAAATATTTGTTGTTATTGCCAGTGAATTTTGGGGTGGTATCTAATGGTTTGTTTGGAGACTAGCTGACTGATGCAGACCCCAAAACAATTATTTTTACATTATAAGAAGTGATGGAACTCTTAATTTGATAATAAGAATTAGAGGGATGTGAGAATCACAAGCATAGTGCCAGTGTGGCATACAGCTCGCCCAACTTCCCAGGGAAAAAACACCTGGGAAAGAGCTAGTTCTGGCTTTTTGGCCCTGCTCTGTCTGGTAGGACAAGTGCAGGTGTGGGCTGAGCTGCCTGACGCCAGAGGTTCAATGATGCCCTGCCAAGGACTCTGCGCTGCTGGACATTTTAGTCACATTATGTATGTCTGTGGGAAGGAGCATAATTTGAACAAGGACATGGACTAGGAGAATCAGTAGAAAAATAACTTCATTGAAGGATTGAATGAGAATGTTACTTTACCTTATAACAAGAAAGACCTGAGGGGAAACTATGCCAGCCTTCAGGACAGGGGTCATTAGGCTTAGGGGCTGCTTCCTCAGGCTTAAGTGGTCCACTTATTTTCTTGCAAATTGAAAGTGCTCTGAAGCTTCTGCAGTCCTTCACCTCCCACTTTCCAAGAGATTTTCCGGTAGACATAGCCACGCATCCACCTGGAGAAGCTGGGGTTGAATTGGGAAGTTTAATTGGAAAATTAAAAATTTAAATTAAAGTTCAAACATGTTTCAGTGACTCTACTCTTTATTTGACCCAAGGTAGGGGGAGAGAATAGGAAAACAATAGAGGAAAGAGAGGAATGAAATGTGTTGTTCAGAATAATGATGATGATGACAGGAAATATAGAAAAGTGTTTATTTATTATTTGTCAGATACTATTCTAAAAGGATTAAATCAATTAAACCTCACCACAAACCTGTAGGGTGGATTCTATTGTCATAATTGAGGTACAGTGAGAATTAAGTGACTTGTTCAAGGTCACAGAATTAGTTAAGTGGTGGATCCAGGATTTGAACTGATATGGTTTGGCTTCCCGGGTTGTACCCAAAACCACTATGCTGCTGAGGATAGTAGTTCAAATTAGCTTAACAACTTTCAGGAGTTTTTAAGCAACTTAGTGAACCTTAAAGCATAACTCTCCCAGATTCAAAGCCAAAGGAAGGGCTGGTATGATAAAAGTAGAAGGAGGTATGTGGTAACACACATTTGTTTTATGACAGTCATAATTTTATTTATTCATACCAACATTAAAAGGTAGTTTGTATTATCAAATCTACTTTCCAGATGAAGACTAAGTGAGTTGCCCACAATCGTAGTTAGTGAGTGCTGGAGTTGAGATTTGAACCCAGATTTGTTTGGCAAAAGGCCATGCTGCATTTTGCATTATACCATACTGAAGTGCGCAGAAGACAAGAAATGTCACATACATTGGAAAGCAATGAGGACAACTTCTATCCCACCAGAGAAGTCCTGTCGTCTCATGTTTTATACATGGACAGCAAGAGAAACAAGGAACTAGGAAAAATAATGCCTTGCTACCCTGGATGGGTGTGCTATTTTCCTCTGTTCTGTCCCCCTATCCATGGCTTGCCCCTGATAGACCAACTTGGTTGAAGTGGAAGCAATAAAGGTGAAGAGAGCTTCATGGTAGTCCTCTCTGCCATGAGCTATGAACACCACTGCACTCTAGCCCAGGCAACAGTGTGACACTGTGTCTCAAAAAAAAAAGGAGAAAGAAAAAGAAAAAAATCTATGTGTTTTATCCACTAGAATATTTCTAATTTAATTTTAGATGTAACCAGGATTAGCATCTGTATGCTCCATCTTATACACATAAAAAGATGACTTCGTGACTATCAATAACACATTGATGGTGATGACCATGTGTCACAAATTTTGTGGGCATTCTCTATTTCAAACGTTGTGTTCAGTGGCAGGCTCACATGTTCTAACCTCTGTTATCAAAAATGATCTTCATGATCACTTTAGACCAACACAAGAAAATATAAATAATTCAAGGAGAGAAAAGTAGAATGCTTTATATTAATAACTGCTGTCTTATTCAAAGACAAAATCCTCTAAAAAGCACTGGCGTGGAAATCAGGAGCTCTGGGTTTTACTAATTCAATAACCAGATGACCTTTGTCAAGTAAATCACCTAAGTCTGTTTTCTCAACTCTAAAATCAGAAGGGACTTCCGAGCTCCTTTCTCGCTCAAATGTTCTGATTCTATGGCAAATTATGGTCAACGCTTTATGCTGGTTGGAGAAAGATGAACTAACTTTCAAAATAAATAATACATATAATATAGCCTCCTTAATTCTTACCCATTGAGAATAACAAAAATAAACACATTAAATTTTGGAGAAAGAAGTTAAGAAGCGGAGAGATGAAAATGTAAAGTGCTTCACAATGAAGCTTCTAGATTCTGTTTAACATTTACACAGAGGAGATAACAAAATCTCACACTGGTGGTTCTAGCTCTGAGTTGTTGGATGGTGGTTTTGGAGAACTGAGTTGTCTAACTTCTTTCATTGGATTATTCCCAAGGATTTAATAGGGAAGGCACAGCCACTGCTTATATTTATGGTTCCATAGATAGACTCTAGTCCTGAAGATCATCATTTCCCTCACATTTCAAGAGTAAGTGAAGAGAATATTTATGAGGCTGCATTTCACTAGTCACTGTATTCTACTACTTTTAAAGGCCAAGACACTCACCTGGCTCAAGAAATTTCCAGTTGGAAAAGGTTACAGCCTGCTTTATTCCACCAACAGTTGACCAACTATACTCTCCACGTGAGTCTACATCTCTCAGGCCAGTCCAGAAGTATTTTGTTAGAGATTTAGCATACTTTTTCATCATATCATTTAGGTATTCTTGCTCAAATCTACGAAAGAAGAATCAGATTGGTGAGTGTTTTACAATGAATCAATTTGAAGATGCA